AAAAAAAAAACTATAATAAATGCATTGATGACTAAATTTTTTCCTTTCTAAAAATTAAATGTAGAACTTCATAAAAGTCATGGTGTCCAAAATACAATTCATAAAAGTTATATAATGACAATCACTCTTACAAATGTATAAAAAGTAAATATAATAAATAAGAAAGAAAAAAAACTAAACATTAAATGAAGTAAAGATAGGAAAATAAATTTTAATATGTGAGCACGAAATAATAAAGAAATCAAGATAAAAAATGGAAAAAATTACATTATAGCATTCTTTCTACATCACTTCCATATATTTTTACAAATTACATTAAACACAAAACAAATCTCATTTTATTATTTCATGCCACTACTCATTAATTGACATCCTTGACATATTTGTTTTTTTTTTTTGTTTTTATTGCTTTTCATTTATTATATTTCTTTCATAACTTACAAATTATATGCATGAGAGCAAATCTTCTCTCTCAATATGTTGTGGTTTAGGGACGAACCAAGCAGAAGTTAGTGAGCTTGTAACAATTTGGACACTCCAAAATAAGAGGGACCTAGAGATTTATACATGTGTGAGAATAAGAAGTTGAGAATGACTTAAAGAAATTAACTAGTGTTTCTTATGATAACAAATATTTATCTTAGATGCAGTCAGTCATCCCAAAAAGGGTTACACATGGAGGATTCTGATCAACGAGAAATTATGTGTTGTATAAGTGTTGTAGAGTGAAATTATTGAAATGTCAAATAACTTTATTGACAACTTTTATGAAATTTTATCTTATATAAGTGTAAATTAAAATTAAAATTTTATAAATTTAACTTAGATAGAAATTTAGTCCATTTAAAATAAGATTATTTTAATTGTAACCCTCTTAATTCAAATTATTTTAATTTTAATTTTCTTGATTTTAGTTATTTTCATTTCAGTCCTCCCAAATTTTGGTTATTTTTATTTGTCTTTTTCTATTTTGGTCTCTATAATTTTTTCACTTTTCTATTTTTTGTCCTTGTAATTTTATTGCCTTTTTTTACGTTAAATTTTAACAGTTAATTTGAAAATAAGAAATAAAAAATGAAACAAATTTTTTTTACAAAAACAAAAATTTTTAAAAATTAAAAGACTGATCAAAAACTCCTTTTTTTTTAGGTGGACTAAAGAGTTATTTAAGACAAAATCAAAATATAAATATAATATAGTTTGTAATGTGGTAGAAAAAGAGAAATTGAAAGAAATAATGAGTATATAATAGAGGAGTTTATAAACATATTAAGTGTTGAAATATAATTTCTCAATATAATTGAATGGTGACCGCCGAATTCAAAAGACTTCACTTTTTTTTTAAGAAGAAAAAAAAAAGAGGAATCCGATTAAAACGTCATGTGATTAATAAGTCAATTGACTAAGGCTTTTATTATTTATATATATATCACTATATACTAAGTACATTTTTATTATTATTAAATATATTTTTATAAATTCTTTCTTTTATTTTATATTCAGTATATTCCCTCTCATCTCTATTATAAGAAGAAAACAAAATTATGAAAGGAGTATAGTGTTGTAAAGGAGTGAAATTATGAAATAAACGGATTCATAATCTCTAATCTCTTACACTGCTCCTAGTTTAGGTCTCTGTTCTCTCATCTCTCTTGTTTATTATTGGATTCATGATTTTTATTTTTACTGATTAAGAGGTTTGGGCTTGCTGGTGGATGGTGACAGGTTATTATGACATATTTTCTTGTTATAGCCAACTCGACATTTCATTGCCAATAGCCATAGATTGCCAAAATCAGAGTAGCCAATCAGTGAATAGAAGCAATCAGAACCAGAGAGCTTCATGTTTGACCTGGCGCCTTTTCACTTGTCTTCCAAGAAAAACAAGTTAACTTATTTATTAGGTAGAATTATACACTTTTTACTATTTTTTACTCTAGAATAATATCTGAATGCGTTCCAACTTTGACGGAGAATATCCAGTTTAACTGGATACGAGTACGGGTACAAGTTAAACTTGATATGTTAAACCGGATATGGATATATACATACCCGTCCTGTATCTATCCCCGATTGAATTATGTTAAAAAATTTTAATATTTTATTATGTGTAATTATTTATTATAATGTTCTCCTTTGCCTTAGACCCATTGTCAGTGGTGGCAGATAATGGAACTTGGGAGGGATCTACATGGGTGTGGCAGGTTAAGTGGAGAAGAGAACCTTTTGTCCATGAAGGTAGGAGTGTGAATATCTTGTTGGATATGCTTAAGGGCTTGCAAGTTATCTCGTCAAGGCAAGATTATTGGAGATGGATTTATGACAAGGACGGTGTATTCTCGGTGAAAAGTGCGTACCTTTGGCTACAAAGATCGGTAGGTGGAGAACTCAGAAACTCTTCGGATTTTCAACTAGTTATAAAAAGACTTTGGAAATGTAAGGCTCCGATCAAGTGTTTGGTCTTTTGTTGGCAAGTGCTATTGAATGCGTTCCCGTGCAAATCATTGTTACAAGTACGTGGTGTGGAGTTGGAAAATAATCTCTGTTCTTTTTGCTCTCTGTTTGTAGAAAATCCTCTTCATCTCTTTCTAATGTGTCCGATGGCTTTTAATACTTGGTTAGCTGTTGCTAAGTGGTTGGAGGTTACGGTGGTGTTCCCCAATTCTATAACTTCTCATTATTTATATTGGACGAATCTTGGCATATATGAAAAACATTCTCAATTATTGCGAGTAGTCTGGGTTTCTGTCATTTGGTCCCTATGGCTTCATCGAAATGTTATTATCTTTCAGCAAGGTACTATAGATGCCAAGGAAGTGTTGGATAATATTAAATTGCGTTCATGGAAGTGGATAAATTGTTCTATCCCTGTTTGTTCTGTTAGTTACTCAACTTGGTATAATAACCCAACATTGTATTTCTTATAGTTTCTATTTTAGATTTTAGACTAATCTTGTATCTCTATCTCTTGTAACGGGTTGGAGTACCCCTTGTACTCCTTTTAATATTAATCTCTTTTGCTTATCAAAAAAAAATTTATAGTTGTTTAATTATTAAAAAATCTCTTGATTAAAATATGAGTTAGAGAAATAATTTCATTATAATTATAATATAATAAAAAATAATTTAAAAATATTGTGTATTTTTTTTATAAAAAAATAATAAATAATTTTTTATAGGTACAGGTACGGATATATTTGATATCTAATGGAGACGGAAATTACATAGTCGATGGGTACAAGTACGGGTACAGGGATGGATTTGAGTCGCAGAAACAGGGACGAGTATCATGAAACTGGTACCTTACCCGCCCCGTTGCCATCCCTACTCTAAAACTTAATTTAGATATTCTTAATTTATTTTTACTGACCGTCATTTTTATACTTTTATATAAATTTATACTTTACCGTTGAACAATGATCACATTTAAGAAAGTTAGAATTAATCAAAGTCCCATGTATACTACTACAACTCTAATCCGTTATGTCGGCCTAGTCATTTTAGGAAATTTTATTTTTAAAAAAGAAAAGGGTATATATTTATTAAGGAAAGAGGAGTAAATATAATTTTGCTAGATATGAAAAGGAATATTAAACTATAAATTACATCAAATAATGTTTGGAGAAAATATTATGATATAATAAAATAAACAACAATAAATAATTTTTTTATACAATTAAAATTTTAAAAATTTTAAATACATAAATTATATTGTAATTAAAAATTTTAATAAATAAATATATTTAAATATTAAAATTAAAAAAAACTATGGAAATATAATTCAGAAATAGAAATAAAATAATAAGGCTAGATTAAAATGAATAAGTGATTAACGATCGAGAATAAGTATACATTTCTTTTTAAGCAGTCGTTTGGAGTTTTTATACACAAATCAAGAAATAGAATAAAAATTTCTTGTTTTCTTTGAAATAGTTTTGAAACTTTCTATTATACTTTTCTAATTACTCTATAATAAGTACATATTGTTTGTAAATGTATAAACTAGTTAAAAGTTAGGTAATAAGGATGTAATTGAAAAAAAAAATTAATATTGTCTTAAATTTTGAAAATAAATAAATAAAAAGATCTCTCCTAAAAAACCAAATAATTAAAAAAGAAACAGATAGATCAACAGACAAAAAGAAAAAAAGAAAAAAAGATTATTTAAGATGATTAAGAGAAAAAAAAACTAATTATGAGAATAATACATGAAAATGCTCATTTAAATGAGAATAAAAGACAAAACATTAAAAAAGTCATAAACTTATTTTTATTATGTATATTCAATTTAAAATATACTAGTATTCTATATAAAAAAAATTAAAAATTAAAAATTCTAAAGAAAAGAATACTTGTGACCCGTTGCAGTTCTTATTAAAATATTTTGAGGCATCAAAATATTTAAATACATATACTCCAAATTATTTATAATACAAAAAAAAATACATACTTTTTTAAAAGAAAAAGGAAAAAAATTAGTGGCCATGGCTTGGCCTGTCCCATACCCATTTAGGCTCCACCACTGATTATGACTATGGAAAAAGGTTGGAATAAATAATCCTTTCCTATTGAAAAATCTGTCAGAGTGTCTAATTTAATAAATAAATATGAACTGTAGATTGAAATGAACGTTAGAGAACTTGCTACGTGGGTTATTGAAGTGAAGTGGATTGAGGGATAGTTTGAATTGTCATGGATGACTTCCAAGTCAAGTGTGGAGGTGATATGGAATGGAATACAAACTCACAAATATGGTCGGACAACTAGACGGTTGGAAAATTAAATACAAAAATATGGTTGGACACTTTAATAATCTAATACACACTTTTGAATTTGTCCTCACTTGCAACCAAACCCTTTCACCACAAACCCTTTTCCTCAAAAACTATAATTCATTGGTGCGTGTGCTAAACATCTCACTCGATGGCCAACTCGACATTTCATTGCCAATAGCCATAAATTGCAATGAAATTAGCCAGTCAGTGAATGAAAGCAATCAGCACCGGCGCTTCGAGTTTGACCTGGCGCCTTTTCACTTGTCTTCCAAGAAAAACAAGCTAACTGTGGTGGGAAGTGACGCCGCTGGGTTACTATGGCCTTCGATTGAAAACTCTTTTACTGTAGCATGCGTGTCTTTGTACGACGATGTGGTGGATGAGCCAGCATCTAATGAAAGCTCATGCTCCGGCACTTTTTGTTGTGAGACTCTCATACAAAACACCCTATCCAATTTCGTCTATTTATCTTCTACAAATATCTTCAGCAATCGGCCTTCCGACACCTGCGGTTATGCATTTCTGGTTAAGGACGGAGCCTACAGTTTCTCTAGCAAAGACCTTGTCGGTAATTAATTTTTTAATTATATTTTATTTATTAGATAAATCTTTTTTTTTTCTTTGACGAGTTGTTATGTAAATAATATTATTTTTTTTGTAGTGAATATATCTATGTATAAATAGATATAGATTCTAATCCTATTTATTTTAATTTTATAATATATATATTATTTATATAATAAGTTTATACAGTAACGAATAGATGTCTAACCCAAATTTAATTGGTTTGATCTTTTTATGAAATTCAACCTATTATATTTTAAATATTAGTTTTTTTTTTACTTTACAAAAATATCCTTGTAAAATGTGCTCAAACTTTATTTCTTTAAAGCTCCCTATTCATTGTCAAAAAAACAAATTATAACTATCTAGTTATCTTTCAGACATTGACGAATGCAAGGAACTATCCCATGACTGTTTTGAGGGGGCTACATGCAAAAACTTTCCTCCTGGGAACTACACTTGTCGCTGTCCACATGGGCATAGAGGAGATGGCAGAAAAAGTGGAGCAAAATGCACTCGCAAAAGCAATATAATCATAATTGCTTTGAGTGAGTATATTATTATCCATCTACTAAAATTACAAAAAAAAAAAAATCTATTCTCGACTCATTCATAACATATAAATATAATCTTGAAAATCAACTTTACTATCGTGATATAGATAAATATTGTTGAAAGAAATCTCATTTCCAAAGAACAAGTATGAATTGCTTCTTGAATTTAAATTCATTTCTTCAAGATGATTTTCATATGATTCAAGTTGCATTAGAACATATATATGTCCTTTAATAAGTTAAGCTTGCCAGGCATTTTGATTTTAATCATGTGACCAACAACCTAAAGTCAACGCATACATTAATAAAAAACAGAGAGAATAATTTTGTTTCCACTTGTTTATGTCTAGGTGTGAGTGTGAGCATCTTAACCCTTATCGGGGGAACCTTTTATGTGTATTGGACATCAAAGAAAAGCAAGCTCATGAAACTTAAAGAACATTTTTTTCAAAAAAATGGTGGTCTGCTCTTGCAACAAGAATTAGTTAGGTATAGTGGGTCAGCTGAAATGACTAAAATCTTTACCATGGAGGAACTAAAGGAGGCCACCTTAGTCAATTGACTTATTAATCACATAACGTTTTAATCGGATTCCTCTTTTTCTTTTTTCTTTTTTCTTTTTTTTCTTAAAAAAAAGTGAAGTCTTTTGAATTCGGTCACCATTCAATTATATTGAGAAATTATATTTCAACACTTAATATTTTATACACTCCTCTATTATATACTCATTATTTCTTTCAATTTCTCTTTCTACCACATTACGAACTATATTATTATTATATTTATATTTTGATTTTGTCTTAAATAACTCTATAGTCCACCTAAAAAAAAAGGAGTTTTTTATCAGTCTTTTAATTTTTGTTTTTGTAAAAAAAATTTGTTTGATTTTTTTTCTTATTGTCAAATTGACTGTTAAAATTTAACGGAAAAAAGGCAATAAAATTACAAGGACAAAAAATAGAAAAGTGAAAAAATTATAGAGACCAAAATAGAAAAAGACTAAAATAAAAATAACCAAAATTTGGAAGGACCGAAATGAAAATAATTAAAATTAAGAAAATTAAAATAAAATAATTTGAATTAAGAGGATTACAATTAAAATAATATTATTTTAAATGGACTAAACTTCTATCTAAGTTGAATTTATAAAGTTTAAACTTTAATTTACACTTATATAAGATAAAACTTCATAAAAGTCACCAATAAAATTATTTGATATCTCAACAACTTCACTCCACAACACTTATACAACACACAACTCCTCGTTGATCAAAATCGTCCATATGTAGCCCTTTTTGGGATGTGTGACTGCCTCTAAGATCAACATTTGTTATCATTCTTATTTATTATATTTACCTTTTATACATATGTAAGAGTGATTGTCATTATATAACTTTTATGAAATTGTATTTTGGACACCATGACTTTTATGAAGTTGTACATTTAATTTTTAGAAAGAAAAAAAATTAGTCATCAATGCATTTATTATAGTTTTTTTTTCATTATGTGTTATTGCATTTAATGATTTAAATTTTATAAATTAGAATCAAATAAATATTTAATCAATATAAAATAAGGTTCATTTCATTTTAATCCTTTTAATTATAATTATTTTTATTTTGATCTTCTTAAGTTTTTTTGTTGTTTTCATTTTAGTCATTTTCTATTTTAGTCTTTATAATTTTTTATTTTTCTATTTTCATTCTTATAATTTTTTGTTTTATTTAATGGTCATTTTGACAATAAGTATGAAAATGAAATACTTTTTTTTACAAGAACAAAATTTTTTTAAAAAAAATTAAAGAGATTCAAATAAAAAATCTCTAGACTAAAA